CCCTGCTGCTCAGAGCTGGCGTCCCAAGCCAACTCCTAACCAATGTGCCACTCGGCCGGCCCATATTTATATTTAAGTGTTATGATCAATCTTTATGTATCCTTAGGATCACATACAATGACTGATTTGTTTTGGTAAAGATGGGCATAATACATTGACAGGATCAACAAATGTCCTGTGCTGATAATTTACATGACACCCCTAGAGGGAACTGAGTCCCTTGTAAGACATGCCCAGTGGGGACACATGGATATCTTCAAATTTGGGGGTGGGGGGTCATTTGTTTCCATAACTCCTGGGAGAATGGTTGCCATGTTTTGTTTCTACTGAAAGGGCAGTAAGTGGAGAAAGGAGGGAAAAAAGTAATTTAAGTAGAAGCAGGGTCATATGTCAGCTGGCCCTCATATAAAGGTTATAGAGGATTCAAGCAAAGATTGATAGTAAAGAATTTCCATATTAAATTTATTTTCAAATTATGTCCTGATTAGTGACTCTGTGTTCCCTTTTTCTCTCTGATATTTGCTCTTTGAGGGCTTCAGATTCTAAAGGCAGGGATTAAGAGCAGTGTTTTGTTTTGTGGGTATTGAGATGCCAGAACACTTGGCCTGCATTCTGTGGACGGAGAGGAAATGAAACAGACTGCAACAGTGAAAGTTGCCAATTGAGAGCCCTGCAAAATTCCTTCCCAAAGAGCCTGAGCCCTAGATTGTGCATATGACATGCAGCTGCTGCAGATGGCACCGCCCCCCCCCCTCCCCATTTGTGCAGAATGGACCCGGCCTTTCAGGGGCTTGAATAAGACCCTCTAGAGTGGCAGCACACCTGCACTGGTCTACATGGGCACGTGCAAAAGCATGCACAGTGGGTACTGGGCCTCTGGGTGAGTGGAAAGCCAGAAACAGAGCTGGGAGAGGGGAAAGTGAGTAGGATAGAGAGGTCTGGTGGTCACTGCTGGGTGCTGTAGGCTGCCCAGGACAGGAAAGGTGTCTAGTTCCTCATAGCTCTGGGTCTGAGGGCGAACTTGGTAGTCACCTGGTAGTCACCCTGGCAGTCAATCCTTGTTGATTTAAGGATTTATTTACATGTGGTTGAGGTAAATAGAATATGGTGACTTCCCTTCAAAAGGCTCTGTGTGTGTGTGTGTGTGTGTGTGNGGAGGGCAGTGTCACTGGCCCTCATATGTGGGATCCGAACCAGGGCCCTCTGGCGTCCCAAGCCAGCTCTTAACCAACGCGCCACTCGGCCGGCCCGGAGCTCGCACTCTTGAGCAAGCTCTTAACCAACTGAGCCACTCTGCGGGCCCTGCCCCTCTAGTTTTAACCCCGTTAACTGGCTTCCTCACGGACCTTGGGAAGGCCCACTGTCTTGGTTTTTAATCCTCTTAACTCTGAAATAGCTTTCAATCAGCTATCTTAGTTTGAGTTCCCTCAGAAGCCGACTGCAAGGCAGGGATCTGAGTGCAAGTAGCTTATGTGGGAGTAAGATTGGGAGTGGGAAAGCGAGATGAGGAGGGCAGAGGTGGTCAGTAAAGGGTGAGCGACTAAGCCACTGTGGGTAACCAGTGCTGCGTTCTGTGGGGAAAATGGGGAAGCCGGTGTAGAACACCTAACCTCACAGTTATTCCACCCACGGGGTAAGAGAGGGCTGTTTCTATTCTAACTTCTTCAGTCTTTGGTGGAAGGCTGCTCTTGAGGGGCAGGTGGGTGGCGGAGCAGATTATCGTGACAGGAAAAGGCCTTATATGGAGTAATGGAGCTGCTGGTAGCTGGAAGCCAGGCGGTGTGCCCTGACAGTGGTAGGGGAGGAATGTGCATAGGCTACCAGCAGCATTTTCTCTCCCGGGCTCCATGGTTTAATGACAGAAGCATGGTAGTTTCTGGAATAGACTGACCCATGCTGACACCTAGCAAGTTTTCCTCAGTAACCTGCAGTTCCATGTCCCTTTAAAAAGGCAAGGGCAAGCTTAGCACGCTTCTATACATTTTAGTCTTTTTTTGAAAGATCGTCTCAAGCACTGGTGTGTTCAATCATTTTTAAGCCAGTACACCAAAGAAGATCGTTCTGGAAGTTCTGTTGCCTGCGCAGCAAGCATAGTGATCGGTGCTGGGGATACAGAAGTGAGAGACGTGATCCCGGCCCAGAGGAGCTGGTGGGCTGGTGGGTGGGTGGTTATTGGATGGCTTACCGAGACCGTCCTTTCTGAGTGAGAGAGGATTTGAAGTGCATCAACTAATCATTAAAAAAATAGGTTTATGGGCACTTTAGAATTTGCGTCAGACAGTCTTCTCTTTCAGACCCTGGTTCGTTCTTGTTGGCTGAGTGACACTGGATGAAACAGCATTGAGTCTCTGAGCCTCAGTTTTCGCAACTGTAAAATGAGATTACTGATTCTGCCTTCTTGGGATTGTTTGAGGGTTAAATAAGATAACCTTGAAAAATGGACTGGATGTGGGTAGAGGAGAGGACAGGGACATGGGAAGGAGGTGAGAACAGGAGAGCAAAGGAGGAAGACAGGAGAACAAAGGTAAGAAAAGTGGGTTTGGGGGCTTGACCGTGGAGGATGCTGACTCTCAAGCTCCAGTAGGAGCTTTGCTGCAGAGACACTGAGGTTTCAGCGTGTCTCAGAAAGACTGAGATTAGGGCCTTCATTCAGTCTTGACACTAATGTGCTGTTCTTGGCTGACCGAGCTGTTCACAGGAACTAGAACTAAACTTTTAGGGAGCCTGGTTTTATGCCCCTCTGAACCACGGACACATAGATCCTGGAGACCGTAGAACCCTCTTGACGTGGTGGAGAATTTGCTTATATGGAAACATATAAAAGTTTAATGCTGTCACGAATAGACTCGGTGCCAACAAGTTCTGGATCTTAAATTTTATATTAGTGTTAGAATACATGAGCTACTGGGGGCCATGTTTGGTGTTGGCTGGGGACGCTGAAGCCCAACAAGGTGGTAGTCTCTTATTAATTCTAAGTCAGTTTCGTGAGAAGACTTAGCTTTGACAGGGGTTCAGAAATTTCCTCTATTTATAATTCAATCTAGTGGATTGGTGTTCTGGAAGGTTTGTGAGAGAGAACCTTCCATTTTGAAATTGAGAATGTTTGCGATTTCCAACTAACTTTCCACATGTGTTCCTTTGGTCTTTGTCTTAAGCTGCTCACGTTTCCCACTTGGAGAATGTGTCAGAGGAAGAAATGAACAGACTCCTGGGAATAGTGTTGGATGTGGAATATCTCTTTACCTGTGTCCACAAGGAAGAGGATGCAGATACGAAACAAGTATATTTCTACCTATTCAAGGTGCGACTTTAACATGTTAAAAAGCTTTTCTTCTTTTCTTCTCTCATTGTTCAGATGTGCTCAGTGTCTGTACTCCAGGTCATGGGTGGGCAGGCTCTCAGCTCGTGGTAGGTTCTGCCCTCAGCATTTGCCGAAGCATGCGTTTCTTCATGAGGGAGTCTCTAAAATGATGCACCATTCGTTGAACACATCACTGTCCTCGAGAGCCTTCATACCTGTATGCAGAGTTGAATATCTTTATTTGCTTATGCTTACGGATCTCTTTCCTTGCACCCATCCTCATCCGTCCAGAAGTATTTCTTGCACACCTGCTCCGTGCATGGCACTCATGTAGGCATGAGGGATAGATCCGTGGGCAAAACAAGAGTCCTTGCCTTCATGGAGTTTACATTTCATTAGAAGAGGCAGACAACCAACAAGTAAATAATATATTTGCAGGTGGTGCTAAGTGCTGTGAAGAGAAACAAAGTAGGGTAAGTGGAATCAGAATGGCAGGGATGGTAGTGGGTGGGGGGGCATGGTAATGAGCAAGGGCAGTTAGGAAAGGCTTCTCGGAGGAGGCAACAGACAGTTGAGCGGAAACTGGAGAGGGGGGATGGGGGGATAGGATCCATCCCTGAGAAGGGCTGTGGGAAGAGTCTGCCAGGCAGCAGAAAGAAGAGGCATTGGGGCCGTACACCAAGTGAGCTTGATGTGGTGTAGGAACAGCAAGAAGGCCAGCTGGTGGAGCATAGTGAGCAAGGGGGAGGGGTTGGGGGTGGGAGGAGTTGTGGTTGGGGGGCAGTGCTGGGGCCTTGACTCTTACACTTCGAGGGGGAGGTGTTGAGAATTTCCAAATTTGTTTTGACGTCTTAACCACAGTTCTCTGTGTCTCGTTGACACCAGCCACTAATTATTGCTACCAGGCCCCATAGCTAGCTGCCTCTTCATGGCTCTACCTCAGCTCCATTTGGGTCATGTCCATCTCCCCGCCACCCCTGTTCCACGGGTGTGCATCGCCCCAAGCTTTCAGGACTGACAGGTGTGAAGGGGAAACTGGTGGTAGGAACCCATAGAAGAACTTCAGGTTTCCAAAAACAGATTTACAAAGGAGGATGACAGAAGGAATAGTTAAAAAAAAAAAAATCCGGCTATTGAGGGCACTGTTAATTATGTTACAGTGTGTAATCCTTTTATGGATCTTTAAAAACAAAAACAAGCAAAACATTCCACTCAGAGCTTACAGCCAGGAAAAGTTTGCCTCTTCTAATGAGCGCTGTGCTTCATTTTCTATGACAAGCATAGATAAATTTTCCATTGAGTTCCCTCTTTTGCTTTGGCTGCTAGGAATCTCGGTGCAAATTTTGTGCCCAATTCCTATAGCTTTTTTTTGGGTCAGCATTTATGTGATACATAATTCCCCCTTCTCCCTTTTTATTAGCTTGAAAACATTGTATTATTGGGGGTTTTGAGGGGTAAATAAGGTATGATAGGAGGGGAGGGAGAAGTATAGTTTTAAATTTTGGGGTCATGTGATGATATTAACTCTAAAAAAGTTAACGGAGGAGAGAAAGAGAAGAAGAGACACAGACACGTGCACGCGTGCGCACACACACACAGAGAGAGAGAGAGAGAGAGAGAGAGAGAGAGAGAGAGAGAGAGAGAAAGAATATGGACAACCGAATTCCACACAGCCATTAACAGGCACTGGGCTACTCCAGGTGACAACTTGTTGACATGGCTGTGAGGCCTGAGTCATCCAGATAGCACCCTGGCAGGTTCATACTTTTTAGAGCTTCTTTGGAAAAGATCTTGGTTGAAGAAAAACAACATCTGCATGACTGCAGCTATTATTTGTCTTGGAACTAAGCTCCCTGGCTGCCCCCCTCCGCCCGGTTGGAAGTGAAGGTGGTGTCAAGGTTTCCATCCTGTCAGCCTCCTCTTGATTCTGTTTATAAGCAACCATATAGGCCAGAAAGCACTGCTCTGCTCTGAAGTACATTTTCTTTCTCTCTCTCTCTCTCTCACCTCCCTCATCTTTAACAGTACAAGTATATTTGCTTGGGGAACAAAATCTGAAATATTCGCCATTGTCCCCCCTCCCCTCCCCCCAAAATCACTCTTTGGGCAAATCAGTTCTAAATTATCCATTCCTTAGTTTTTAAAAGGCAGTTCCTGTGTGTCGTATGTCTCAATAAGTGAATTAAAATGAATTATACATTTTAGTATCTTTTAAAAAACTTCAGGTTTAGCTGTTGAAAATACACTCAGTGAAAAGCTGCTTTCTAAAAGCTCGGTGTACCCTAGTGCCTGGAAATGTGTCTCTGGAACCCAAGTATCTGGGTTTGAATCCAACTTTATCACTTACTAAATGTGAACCTTGGCAAGTTATTTTTCCTCAGTTTCCTTATCTGTAAAATATGGCCAATAATAGCACCTACCTCAAAAGGTGGTTATGAGTATTAAATGAGATAACACATATAAAGAACTATGAAGAGTACGTGCCAAAAGTAAGGATGCAAATGCTTGCTGCTGCTATTAAATTTTTTTTTTTTTTAAGATTTTATTGGGGAATTGGGGGAGGGGAACAGAAAAGTTGCTGTCCTTTTGTTCTTCAGTCTAGTTGTGGAGGACGT